GTGCAGGTCACTGAGTTTGTCCTGATTTCGGTTTTCTGATACGGATAGCCTGGCGAATTTACTTGCCAGCGGATGTACACAGCGTACAGTCACACAAAAACACCGAAATCCTAAGACAGGACGTATGATATCATGTAAACTTGACTGATTTCCGGGCTGTGAAACACGAAAATTTGAGCTGAACGCAAGTCGCGGCTTGGCAGGGTTAACCCTTATCTCCTCTTACATGACTGTATTGTTTTCGCTTAGTATTAGCTTAAAAACTCGGACGTTGAGCCAATAGTAATATGGAAAGAGAAAGGCCCTCGCTTGGCCTCCCCTCTTCATGTATTTTTACATACCTTTGAGCCTCCCAAGATGGGTGGTCTGTTGCCTTTCGAGTTGTAGTTAGACCGGTGTATCCAATGGTCTTACTAGTCTCGTCATCATCATCCCATAACGTTCGACATTCTTTGTTGCCGAGGGACATAGCTCGTGCATATCTTCGTGGCGCATCCGTTCCCCTCATTGGAACTTTTCGCACCCGAGCCTTCCAAGTTGGAAGGTTTTTGGTTTCCATTTCATGGATGTGTCGGAGCTAGGTGTCAGGTCATCGAATGTCTCGATATCCGTTGTCAGTTTTGTGCATTGTTGTCGCACTATCTGACTGTATATTATCTCGTTACCTTGGTTACCTTGGTGGACTGTTAGTCATAACTAGTAACTTATACGTCCTTTTCTCTTTCCATATTATTAGTTTCTTTTAAATGGAAAACCTTACACACACACCATCTTCAATCCAAGTGGTCTCTTCGCTGCAAAAATAATTCTCAATCAAATTTTTGGCCAGGAGCCATCACCAGGCATCCTGATGATGGCTCCTGGCCGAAAATTTGATTAAGAATTATTTTGCAGCGAAGAGATCACTTGGATTGAAGATGGTGTGTGTAAGGTTTTCCATATTATTAGTTTGTTTCTTTTTTAATAGAGGTCGGAGGCGGACAATAATTTTCAAGCGAAGGTAAGTACTACGCAAGTATCCACGCAAACGCACACATCCATTCAAATAAGGCATTAGTCATAAAGTAACCGAACGTTTTCGGTCCCTTCTCATCAAGGATTGTAGAGGGAATGGCTCAAGTTGGAAAGACTAAAACTTACTTCCTCCGCGTCATCGAAATTGTCGCAGTTTGACTTTTGGTGTAAAACGCGGTATTTACTCACCAGCACTCGTACCAGAGGCAAGGAATCGGACATAGGCGATAGTCATCAGTATAGGGTGACGGCAAAGTTCTATTTTCTGTTATTGGAAGCTGGAATTTTTGAACTAGACGCAATTTCTTCGCTGATGTCGCTGCGCTGGTAATTTCGACTCGCTGAGATCGGTCAGGCGTTGCAGCCTGCACATTTCTCGTGCTTATGGCCATTCACTCAAGCCCCACTGATCACTGTTTTACCTTAGCTGGGGTGAGAATGACTTCGTGGAACAAGTGGCAGCGCCTGGAGAAACATCGAGGGGTCGGCAAACTAAATGCCTTCAACAGCGATAAAATTTGTCGCTCTGGCTGAGACACTCAGTACTAGTACATGATTGTACCTGCAAGAGCCGTGTAGACTCTACACGTAGTGCTAGTGATGCACGCGCAGGTCCCGTACCATGGTATACCAGTGATGCTGAAAAAGAGGGCGCGCTGGACGTGATACTACACTTACCTGCATGAGCTGTGGGCATGCCACGGCTAACAAACGTTCATTTCAAGATCGAGGTGATTCCGAGGTGATTCCGCCGACGGTAATCAACCGACCTCGCAACGATCGTGTATTCTTACTAGGCTTCGTTGGTGGTGAAGTAGAAATCATCCAGAGCTAGCAGACGACAAGCATAGCAGCTCTTGTCCTGTGGAGAAAGTCAAAGCGTTTGAGATGAGGCGCGACCAACTTTCAACCTTCCTTGAAATATTTCGGAACGATATTTTTGCGTCCATTGACATCAGTGACGACGAGGACTTCATCTCTGCATGAAAACTCTCAGTCCAATTGTCCTGGAACGTTACTCTAGTCTTCAGACTATCATACTGTGTAATAAGTTTTGAATGGCTTAGTTTATGGAGTTGTCAGTAACAAGTGACAAGTCACTAGTCAAACTGCGACAATTTCGATGACGCGGAGGAAGTATATAGCATGAAGATAGTGGGATAACGACACTCGTGACAAGGTGGAAAATTATCAAGTTCAGAACAACACAAATCTCATTTATAGACTCGGATGGAGAGTCAAGGACAAGGATAAATTTATGGAAAAGAAAAAAGACCAGGGAACTATAAGTTACGCTATGATATCCACTAACACCACCAGTTACTAAAACACATCCTACACAGCTGAGACTTTCAGCTCTTGCTTGTCTTGGTTGCGCTCGCCTTCCCCTCCTATGTTATCATATAACTTAGAACCTTCCAAGTTGTAAGGCTGTTGGAGTGCGCATCCAAGACGTGCTAGAGCTGATAGCCAGTTAGGTGTAGAATGTCAGTATAGTCGGTCAGTGTCGTGCAATGTTATCGCATGAGCTGATTGTTTAGTAACTGGTGGTGTTAGTGGACATTATAGCGTAACTTGTAGTTCCTTGGTCCTTTTTCTTTTCTATAAAAATAGATATCAGTGAGTGATGCATAAAGCACAGCGGAATTACCAGTATTGCCTTGGATTTGGTTGGTCCAGCCCTGGCATGGCCCGACTGAAATATTGCAGTGGACAAGATCTGCACTTGGAAACACGGATCAGAACAACACAACGATTTCTTTCACTCCAAGGCATAAGCAATTTGCAACACACAAAGAAAACACACTTGTCACAAGTCGGCATAAAGTGACCGCATCATCTCCATGCATAAAGAAGGTTGGACAGGGGAACACAGGCTCCTTCAGAGTGAAGCATTGAATTGATTGGAAACCACATCGTCAATGCTTCTAACGTGTATGTTAATCCTACAATTCTAGCGGTGCACACACAACACTTAGACCACTACTGTTTCTCGGCATGAATTTCTTGATGGTAATGCTCACAAACAAACCTGTGGGGCAGACTGGTCCTGGGCAGTCAGGTATGCACCGCTGGGCTGAAGCGATATATGTTGACCCATGTGTACACGCTGCAGAGACAAGGAGAAGCAATTGAATTAAAAAAATGTTCCATTACTAAATGTATGCTAGTTCAGTTCGGTATATCACCGGATGAGCGGATACGAATTTTAGTTCTGCAATGCATGAGTGCACTTGTGCCAGTGGTTGTGAGACTTATCCACTCATCCCCACCGTTAGGTGCTGCATCTGTCGCTAGGGTTTACCGGGTGTTAGCGGCCGTCGTGAGTTCCCTTCGGGAACGGACACGATAATTTACTTTACTTAATGCATGAGTGTACTGTATTCACGCATAGCATGCTTGTACAGCGCCACTGTACTGCACATACAGGTGTATGCACACGTGTCTGGCCACGAGGGCTCCTGTACTGCATGTACTGTTGACCTTGTCACACCAGCCACTTCCTCTCCTCTCATCCTTTTCTGTTCAGGTGCAGTGTGTAGTATGGTGGGTTTAACACCGTACAGACTCAGGGGTGTTCGGTTTCGATCTACAGGTTTGGGTAGAAACTACAGTGCGGGCCAGAGAAATCCAACCTCATGAATAAAGTAGCGCCGTGTTAGAGTGCACAGACCATTGTTTGTAGTGCTAGGGCTGCGTAGTGCACAGACCACTGTTTGTAGTGCTAGGGCTGCGTAGCGCCGTGTTAGAGTGCACAGACCAGTGTGCGTAGTGCTAGGGCTGCGTAGCGCCCGGCAACGCTATTTTATTCATGAGGTTGGATTTCTTTGGCCAGCACTGTACTTCTTTCGGTAGGTGCATTCCTTTTCTTCTACTCAAAAGAGTAGATTCTACTTTTCTCTACCGGCTCTACCAGGTTTGAAGCTGGTGGAGGTTGTTAAAAGTTGGTAGAGGTACAGGATATCTAGCAAGATCAAGGAGTTGTACAAAACTGTATACAGAAGAGAAACAGTTTACGTACATATCGTGAAGAATTAAATCCAGTAGGACAGCGTTCGTGCACTTACCTCTACCTTCTACCCCATGGGGTAGAATGACTCTACGCTATCAGGTAGCTAAAACGAACGTAGCCTCAGTGTGCACTGTGCTCCACCCCAGAGTACTCCAAGTCGAGATCTCATTGCCAACTTTCGCCCCCTACACATAGTGCAAGCAATGTAGGTGCCACTGCCCGCAAGAAGTGCCCACTTTCTACAGAGATGCACTCACATGGCAGCAAACACATGAGACCACTGTATCTACAGCTGTTCCAAGTCAAACACCATGTACATACCTGAATCGTTCGTCGCCTGTACAGGGCAGTCGCCTATGAAGCGTATGTTGCGTACATAGTATATAGCGTTCGACGTGGACATGATAGAAACAGGCCCTGAGTGCAATGCCAGATCAGAATTGACATAGTAAACCCCGGTGTTGCGATATCTGGTGAGCAGAGGACACAAAGAATGACAGTACATACAGGCAACTATAGCGACTGCTGCAACGAGTGCAGAGCCTATTAACATGTGAAACTTCCCGTTTGTGGGGCCGGACATGGCAGAATGCCTCATTGTGTAGCAAATCGCAACACAGCTATAAATACTACTTGAAGTATTATCTTTTAACAGCAAAGTTGATACATGAAGGGACCGCGATGGGACAGATCAATGAACGCATGCAGCACGGACGCCACTACAAGTTAAGGTGAGGCCTTTGCTTAGAATTATTTGCATTATTTGCATGTGAGCTGAAGATTGTGTTGGTGCTTGCAGTTTTGATGTATCTCTCGTTTTCTCTTTGCTCAAGTTGTATCTGTCTAATATGTATCTTGGCTTCCAGTAGTGCAGACATTGCTGATGTTAAGGCTCAACTGATGCAAGAGTTGTCCGATGTATTCGACGATTCCCAGTTGAAGCCCATAGCTGGTCCTCCCATGGAGATAAAGCTTCAATCTGATGCCACACCAACCTGCATTAAATGGTGGCCGCGCAATCCCATTCGCCTACCGAGATCAGATAAAATCTCAACTGGACTACATGGTGATCAATGGAATTATTGAGCCAGTCACTGAACCGTCAGACTGGTGCCACCCAATCGTCATCGCAGACAAGAAGACTTCCTCTGAGAAACGCCTGACCGTTGATTTGCGTAAACTCAACGACCAAGTCTGCAGACCTACACACCCAGCTCGTACTCCGCGTGACGCCGTGACAGCTATCGGTAAAGTCCGTTTCTTCACCACGCTTGACGCTCATCATGGGTACTGGCAAAATACCCCTGTCTGGTCTTCCCGCGGGGTTGTCGTGGCTATCAGTGACCACCGCGACTACTACCGAGTGGACGTGTATATTGGCGCAACCGTCGCTACCTCCACCAATACCGTCCTCCTGCTCCAGCTTCAGAAGCCATGCCTACATCCTCTCCCGTACCAGATGCTGCGCCACAAGCAGTCCCTGTGACTCAGTCCTCGCCACAGTCAACTGTTCAGGTACCACCTCGAACAAGCCAACGTGCCAGAATGTCCCCTTTAACTCGTGGGCAGTCGTATAATTAACAATCGCTCTGTTCAGCTGCTTGTTTCCATCGTACCTATTCAATAGGCCATATGCAAGCAAAATGGCCGCCGCAAAATGGCGTATGCACGTGACCCCACTGCGGGGACACTTTTTTGAGCCTCAGCGCTGCTGTTTTTTATGCATGATAACCAGTGTTTTTTAGTGCTGTCAAGAAGAGGTTCAAGTGGTCTCTCGAGTTCTATACTAAGCTCTTGACAATGTCACTGTCATCTGACCCCAGCAAGTGGACATTAGGCGTCCTGCAGGGTTTCTGTAGTAGCAACAGCCTGAAAAAATGCGGAAAGAAAGCCGATGTCCTGAAGCGGTAAGTCATTATTTTCTCTCCAAAACTTTTCAAATGGTTTTGATTTTTTTTGCCCAGTGCATTAATTTTGTTTATAATAGAGAGGTTCCGGGGTACGATTTTCCGTGCCAAAATCCGTATGGGCGCTACGGATTTTTTCCAGGCAAGCTCCATACGATTTTTCGGCACGGAGAATCCGTGTGGACTGGCTTTCACACGAACCATGTTTCGTATGGAGATTTTGCGTCATCGGGTGCAGAAAGATTTTTCGCGTACAAATTTGGTACGAGAAACATCGATTTTCCGCGGGAAGTTTTGATTTCGGTACAAATTTTCAAAATAGAAAGGCATAGCGCGGGAATGTGACGTGTTTGCGATCGTAACCTAGGCAATGACGGCAAACACATAAGTTCCCTACTCCGGAACATTTCACTGCTTGAAAACGACGTATAAAAAATCCGTAGCGCCTCTACGGATTTTGGGCACGAAAAGTCGTACTCCGGAACCTCCCTATTATTTCCGTCTCCTCCTTTGATGACTACTTCCTTCTGATCTGCAGAGTCCAAGAGCACATCGAAAAGCAAACGGGCAGCTCGAGTTCTGCAGGGACTGGCTTGCTTTCAGCTCCCCTTGACTCTGGTTTGAGCAGTGCTTCAGCAGCTAGTTCGAGCTCTGAAGCTGCGACTAGTGCGTCTCAACTTTCCCAGACACCGCTGTCCGAGTTCCCTTCTGCTGGTTGGAAAACTGTTCAATCTGCCAGATTCAGCTGCCCTGCTTTCTCCCTTGGTACCCTAGTCAAGTTTTTCGTCGACAAGGTAACTGTGGATGGCCAGCCAACAGCTAGCTTCAAGGCGCTAGGCCTTGATGGCAGCGACAGCAAATCACTGAGACTGTTCAAGCGTGGATATGTGCAGAAGATGGAGATTGTGGCGCTGGATGACACATCTGACGTCTATATTCGAGCACGGTGTGAGCCTGAAATGCGGTCAGCCAAGCCGTATAAGCTGAAGCTCCTTTGTGTTGTTGGTGAGGGAGAGGAGAGACCTGTGAAGGACATTCCATTTGCCGAGTGTTACCCGTGCCCTGCCGGCAAAGCGCCTCATGCAAGCTGCAAGCACATTGCAGCGTTGCTTTATGCCCTTGTGGAGTTTTGTGAGCTGGGCTTCACAAGGGAATTTGTAACGGTGACAGACACGTTACAATCGTGGAATAAGCCGCACACGAAAAAATCGGAACCAAAACGTGCTGTGGAGCTGGACTGGAGCAAGCCTCTTCTGAAAACTGCTGGGCAAGCGAAAAGGTTGAAAACGAAGCAAACCCCTGCAGACATTGCAAAGCTGGATCCCCGTGTATCTCAAGATCGTGGCTCCACTGCACGGGCTGCATCTACCCTCACCAAGGAGATGCTTGTCAGGAAATACATACCTGGCTTGCTGACGGTCGCTGGCGATGATGCTGTCCAGGAGGCCCAGCGCACTGAGAGACTTGCTTGAGCAAAGGCACAGCACGCATCCTTTCAGGTAGGGTTAGGTAGGGTTGCAAGGAATATTCTAATGTTCGATTGTTATTCTACGGCTGTATGGGCGTTGTCTTGTGACGCATGCGCACACGCTGCTCAAGTGTCGATCTATCGTAGCAGTTCTAGAGCGGATGGGGTGATATGTACATGTGTTATAGATATGTTGAAAAAGGGGACTATGACTCCCAAGAGTAGTGAACATGACTTCACTGTCTACTTGGTCTACAACGACCGTGGACTAGCCAAAATCTTTAAGATTTTGTTGGTATAAAAAATTCGATGTTCGACGATTCCTTTATAAAAATATTCGATTCGTTCCGATTTAGAATTTTCGTTTCCTCCCTACTTTTAGGAACAACATCCAAGTGCATCCATGACAACAGCCACTGTTACTACCTCTACTACAGCTGCTTCTTCCACGCCAGGTATGGATGAGCCCATGGAAGAATCAATGGATGAGCCAGTGAGTGGAGCAGCTGGAGGCAGTGGCATTGAGATCAGTCCAGCCTTGAGAAATGGGTATGTTATCTTGTGCGAGATAAGCATTCCAAACAGCTCTCTTTGCACATTTGATGGCTTTTTACGCTAATGTTGGTCATAAACATTCTGTACTTGTCTTACACCTGGTGTAATGGGCTTGTTGTGAACCCTCTGGTTCTCTTAAGTATCAGGAACGAACGACCCCACACGGCACGAGGACAACTATTTATTCTCAACAGTATATTTCACTTCCATCGACTAATAACAATGAACAATGAATGACTGAATGAACAACTGAATAACTATAGCGTGAAAATGACAGCGTATATGAGAAAAGCATACACATACAACATACAACTACAGCGCACACAGCAAACTGCACATAGCGCATGTAGCGTATACTACGTCGTGATCATCAGCGGTACGGCGGAGTCGGGATACAACTGCATTGACACGAACACAATGTCACAAGCGAGAAGGCCTTTCACTCTCGAGAACTTGTGGTTTCACAACATTCTCCCCACCAAAGGGCTTCTCACCGCCGTACTACAACTCACGAGTCAAAAACGACCGGGGCTCTGACTACACGCCCAGAACGAGTCATCCGCTGCTGTAGGGGTGGCCAAGGGGGAATGATACCAGTGCTCACCATTTCTGCCAACTGAGCAACGGTCTACGGACTTGCGCACTTCAGATGAAGCTCTAACGTCGGCTTCACGAGAGCACATACCAGAATGACTGCGGAGCTACCCAGGATCGTGATGGCGAACTTGTCCATCCGCTGTTGGGTTGATTCCGCACTGAATTGCTTCACCTCAACATTCTCAACTCCAACGTGCTCTGCATCGATTGCGGACACCAATGCTGCAGTCACAAATGACGCCTTGGCACCCGAGTCTAGCAACACACGAAGCGTGCCGCTGTGGGATGTCACACACGGCACTGGACCACTGTCTCGTGGGGCGGACGCTGGACCAGATAACATACATCCGATCTCCGTGTTCCACACATACTCGCCGCTCACTTCTTCCGTGCTAACCAGTATCACCCTTCTCATTTCCTCAGCTTCTACGCCTTGCGATTCTACTTCTTGCGCTTCTACGTCTTGCTCTTCTACTTCTTGCGCTTCTACGTCTTGCTCTTCTACGTCTTGCGCCTCTACGTCTTGCGCCTCTACGTCTTGCGCCTCTACGTCGTTCGGCCGAGACTCCAGCTGCTTCTGAGCGTCTCCGACCGATGTCGCCATGCACTGTACCGACGCAGTGGGCCTTGGATCCGATCCTTTCACTGGCTTCAAATACTCTTCTGACCGCTGCTTGTGTCTGCAAGCAAAGTCTTCCACACCTTGTCCGGCGTCCTTTCGCGTGAGGCAAGCAAATTTCGCTTTGCTCCCTCATATTTACTGCTGGCAATGCGCTCGTTAATCTTCTTGAGCTTTTCGTTAAACTCTGTGCGGAGCGCACCCTCTTGCCGTCTAGCACTGCGCTCTTCAAACTCCTCGCTCTGTCGGAGCCTCTTCTCCACGTATTCTCTCAACCTATCGCCTTCAAATCCATACCGAATTCCGT